TAATAATTTTGCTAGTCTTACCAGCCCTCTAATTTTATTTTTGTTCAGTATTTATTATTTTTTTTACTCAATTTTACCAATAATYTTGCAATTAACAAGTGAAAATTCCAACTTAACAAACCCTGTAATTTAATTTTTTTTCAGTTTTTATTCTTTTTTATTATTTTATTTTTTATTTTGCTACATTTTTGTCTTTTTTCTTTTTAGATTGTCTTCTGTGAATTTTCTTCTAATTTTTATATTATTTATGTTCTATTTTAATATTTTCTTTAAAAATAAAGCTATTTTTATGGCTAGATTTTTCTATAGCTTTTTTTCTGTCTTCTTTTCCTGTTTCTCCTCCTAGTTATTTCGATTTTATATTTAAAAATTTTTATTTTTTATTTATATCTAATTTTATTTCGAAATTATTCTCTAGATTTTTTTCTTTTATATTTTTTTCTAGATTTTTACATAGAATAAAACCCAAAAATAATTCATAAAAATGTATTTAGTTTATTTCAAAGTATTTTTAATCGCATTCATAATAGGATAAGGCCCTTTCCCACAAATCCCCCTAAAATCATCCGTATCCAGTGACCACACCATAACCCCACCCAAATTCTTCTCATTTGCAAACGCCACTTTCAACGCAATCGACTTGGGATCATCGAATCCCAACCACTGATTCCCTTTCACAATATGTGGTACTTGTTGTTCATCATCCCAGAAATAATCCCAATCGCTGTACAACTCGCACACTTCGTTGTACCCAATCACGCCCATGGCCCTGGTATAAGGCCCAGCGTCGCTCCCCCCATAGGTCGCCGCGTAGAGGGAGGTATTGGTGGGGTCGGCCAAGGCGAAGCCACGCCCATAGGTGCCCAACCCAAGGTTGATTTTGCTCGCAGGGGCACCCTCATCAAGCCAATATTGAATCCCAGCGGCCTTGAAACACCCATCAAGCTTTTATGGGGCGAAAAAGTGACACTTACCACATTGAGGGTCTTTTGCTCGTCGGTTTGGTCCAAATGGGAGGCATAAAGTGGGGCATAGTGACCCACAAAAGGCTCAAAAGCCCCATGGAAGTCGTAGACCATGACATTGATCATGTCCAAATTCCTGGAATTGGGAATTACAGTTTGTTGGATTAAGTAGTAGAAAAAATTTACTGTGCAACTTGGGCTATATCGTAGGAGAGTTTACAGGAGGCAATCCCTCCCGAGACCGCCGCCGACAGGATCATCCCTTTGGCATTCAAAGCCGATTTTAATTCCCCTAAAAGTGTGACAAAGTTGGCTTTGTCTCCATCAGCCCCGCCCCGTTGACATGGGTACTCCCAATCAAGGTCAAACCCATCGAACCCATGCTGTTCCACGAAACCCATCACCGACGTGACCATTGCTTGTCTCAAACCGGGATTTGCCGCCACTTGGGAGTATTTTTGCGAGCCTTCGTTCCACCCTCCCATACTTAGGATTATTTTGAGGTTGGGATTTTTCTGTTTGAGTGACATGAGATGGGAGAGTTCCTCAAGTCCTGTCAATTCCCAGTCGTCCAAAACTGATACGGACCCATCTTCTCGGAGACCGACGAAAGCGTACAGGATGTGAGTGCAAAGGTTGGGATCGGTGTCTAGGGCGGTAAATTTGCCATTATCGGGCCGGTAAATGGTCCAGCTAGCGAAGTAGCACACCACGTTGCCTGGAAACGGACTTAGTTTTGGGTTATAAGACGGAAAGTGGGACTTACCAGCCGAGGCTGAGAGCACCATGAAGGCGCTAATAAAAGCGAGGATTGCGACAAGTTTCGACATTTCGACTGATTTGATCAATCTAAAAATCGTTTTATTTATATTGGAAAAAATGAGGCGATTTTATCTGTGTGTTTTGTGATAGAAATAAGTGTTTTGCTCAGTAATTTGCTTCTCGAGATAAAAATGTGTACTTTACGGGTTTTGAAGTGATTAAAATCAGTCATTTTTTGACGTTTAAGAGAGGGTTTTGCTTCGGTCAGTTTTATTTTTACTTTTTTGGGAATGTATCATTTATTAGTGTTGTGATTTTGAGATGGAGATAAAGTTCGAGATCTGGAACAATGCATCATCTTCAATTTGATCCTCTTTGAGGTTATATAAGAAGAGATAATCGATCTTGACGTGGATTTACAATTTGTTTGTTTGTTTTTAAAAGTGATTGGAACATTGAAATTATAAATAAAAAGTTTAATTTTACCGATTATTATTTTTATTTATATTGATTCAATTTGATTTTTTTATGTTTTGTGTACTTGTGCTTTAATTGTGTTTTAGTTAATTGATTTTTGGTGTTTTTAATTATTTATTCTAAAAATAAATTTAATAAAAAACAAAATACCAAAATATTTTTTTATTTTCTACAACAATTTGTTTTATTTTTCATTTATTTGGTTTTTTCTTCTTTTTTTCGTTAGTGTTCAATCAAAAAATATTGTAGCTTTATTTTTAAATTTTTGTTTCAATTTTTTTCTCTCTACTCATATATTTTGTACTTAATTTTTATTGATTGTGTTTAGGCTTTTTATTTCCTTTTTTAATATTTTGCCAGATTATGCTCCAAATATTTTCTTATCTACCTTTATAAATTAGTATTCACCATTTTTTTATAATTCGTTTTTAACTTGTTCACTGACTTCTTTATTTAAATTTATGACTACTTTTATCGCTACATTTTTGCATATTTCTACGTTTTTGTATCTTTTGAATTTTTTACTTATTTTTTTTA